GGCCTACATGGGGGTGGGGAAAGGGGCTTATCTTTGGAAAAAAGTTATATAATGATGGGCTTGGGAGTTTCCACAGACAAAAGTTTGTGACCATTTAAGTGGAATGTTTACCTTCCTTGTTTTTGTTTTTTCTCTGACCTTCCTCTTCATCATCATCACCATCATCCTCTTCTTCTGACAAAGATAAATCTCTTTCATCATCATGAATGATCTGCAAAAGAAAAACAAACTTCAACAATCCAACTCACAGGATTTAATTTAGCAGCTGACAGAACACCATGAGACTTAAATGTAGTCTTAAAGTGTAAAATATCCCTGAATGTTCTGTGAAACTCTTAGATTTGTCCTTTGTAGTTTTCTCTTTATATCAAACTCACCAACGCAAGGCTTTAGGAATCATGCAAACACAACTACATTTTGTTATTCATGGGCACTAGTGTTGTTTGAAAGTTTTTAGTAATTACAGGGGCTGTAGGTGAGTTGGAACTGAAAACCTCTCAGAACATCACAAGTGGCCATAAAACACCAAAGGCATCAGCACTTCATGTGACTCTCTGTTAATCATATTTCTCAACAGTCTGTTACCAACACTTCTTTGTGCTTCCCCAGTGCACAATAATCAAAACACTCCTATGTATTTTAAAAAATGCTCAAAAACATGTTTTATTTGAATTGGTGTTTTGATACAATAATAAGTCACATCAACCTTCTTTACTGTTTGTAAACACATTTATTTAACCAATTTAAAATAATTACTGTAATATCTTCAAAGCTTTATTTGCAAAAGAGTACAAAAATGAATTCTTTTAATGTACCCACGTGCCTATCTGCGCATTTTTTCAATGACCAATCAGGTACAAAATATTCCTATTAGGATATTTCAGTTACCTTACACACAATAATTGTGTCATGTGATTATGGCAAATAAATGTTTTTTATAAATCTCTGTTAACCCTGCAGGTAATGTATACCACACTATATCTTACCAGATTTCCTGTCCTACTGGCTATTTTTGCAGTTTTGTCCATTTTAATCTCATCACCTTCTTCTGAGTCTTCTTTGTTGTCCATCAGTCTTTTTTTTACCATCAATGAAAAATAATTGACTGTCTTTTCTCTGCGTCCAAACTCTTCCTCAGCTTCATCTGCTGTTAGAGTCTGATATTTTATGTCAGCAGTAAAATTATACCAGTTGTTCACTGGCACAGCCTCAAATGCACCATCTTCACACTGAGTCAATATGTAATATGATGAATTCTCATTAATCCCTGCTTCCTTTCGACCAGTAAACCTGCAATAGTTTCAAAGTAACTTTTAAAATTCAAAATCTAAAGTAATAGAAACCTTAACACATGACCAAACTTCAGCCTCATGTTTGCAGGAATTTGGTCTTAACAAGAGTTATGTTCTCATGTAAGTAATTTACCAGATTTTATTTCCATTGACGTCCAGTCATCCCATGTAAGCCTGATACTGATATACAAAAACTACCATTTTCTTTCTTTTCTTGAAATTTAAAATGATCAAGCCAGATCAACAGTTTTGTTTTAACAAGGTATTAGCAACAGCTGCTGCACAACTTTGAAATCCAACATAACTTCTTGAAAACACATGCTCAATATTAATACAAGTCTTTGTAAAGGATGGAGGTCTATATTGTACATGGAAAATGCATTTTGAAACCATAGGTCAACCTAAGGGTTCTAATTTCTAATGCCAGATCGCCACAAATTATCTCTGACAAGGCAGCTAAAAATTACAATTACTATATATTTATAATTTAAAATAAAACATCCAAATACACAATCAGGAGATTTGTACATGCACCAGCATGTAAGCAACCTTGATTTGTTTTATGCTCTTACAAAGTTTAATCCAAAAAAATTGAGTGTTCAATACCAACTTGAAAAAATCACACTGAGATGGACGTTGCTAGAAATTTGCAAATAAAAGAAATCAGTCTAATCTCTTTATTTTTCCAACAATATGAACTGCATTGACTTCAAATTTTGAGCAAGCCCTACTTCTACAAGGTTTCATTCTTTCTGTCATAAATATTTTTTTCTCAGGAAATAAATTGTTACATGTAATTTTGGTCTCCTCTGAGCATAAGGGTCTGACTAAGCTCAGTGGATATATAAATTACTTAATTTACCTTCTCCCACTTTTGCCCCCAAGCCTCAAATTCCATGGCGCTGCTTCAGGGTTCTTGGGTTTTGGGACGAAACCAAAACGTTTCTTGCGTGCTTCTTCACGTCTTTCTCTGCCAAATTCACTACCAGCTCCAAAAGTTGGCAGATTTTCACTTTCTCTCTCTTCAATTGCATCTGTTTGACGAGACATCTGAGCCTAGAAGATTCATAAATAACTTGATGATCCAGTTCTGAGTTGTTCATTGTACAAAATTTTGGAATTTCAAGATCCCTGAGGCGTTGTCTTAGCACCTCTTGTAATTTTCCTCTCCTTTCCTAATTAAATTAAATTGTGAACTTTAAATTGAATTTTTTCCTTTATCTTGACCTGTAACTAAATCATCTTTTGAATAAAGGCTCATGTCTTTTTTTATGTCTCATTATTAAATAGTTCTCTTTGTTGATTTAAAATTTTCTAAAATTGCTTAATTTCAGCAGTATTTGAGTTTCCCATTTATTCTCACAGCCAGTATGTGTGTTTATTTCTGGTCAAATGATACACTTCATCAGTAAATAATGTCTGATCAAATAATAGCAGCTTTTATTATCCTTAAAAAATAAAATTATCATCTGAAGTTTACATTCATTCTCTGAAAGAAAACTGTACCTTTGTGATTGATGAGAAGTCTACTTTTGTACTCTGAAAACGCATGACTGAATATTTCTTTGCCAGGTGCCTGACAAAGTAAGTCAATGTGGATTGATTAGACAGTTTCCTTACAATTATGTTACCTTTGAAAATAAGCATAGTCAGCAAGAATTGATGGAAAACAGAAAATTAAGTTATTAACTTTATAATGACCTTTCATATCGTGCAAAAAACCATGTACAAACATTTCTCTGCAAACATCAGTTCTGAAAGGTATGGCCTAGGGATAGAAATAACAGCCTATTTCCATTTTTCCACTCTCTAAGCTTAAGTACAATGCAAGTTCTACTGTTAGGGAAGAAGCCCTCTTCAGTCAACAAGGCAGGCAGAAAGTGCAATATAATTTGAGAGTTAAAAATCCAATTGGTTGTTCTCCCTACTGACTACCATAATAGTTCCTACAGTTCCTCATTAATTAGAAATTTTGTGTCACTTCAACATAACATCCTCTAGCTGATAAGCCCTTTTTTCTCATAACCTGTTTGCAAGAAAACATATTTGAATCACCAGGAGAAGTTACAAGTTAATCGTTTCTTAGGTTCAAAGGGTTAAATTTTAAACACATTGGCAAGAAAATTTTTGAATGATTAGGTTACATATTAGGTAAAAATGTATTACCAGTAAGTAGTTTATTCTTATTACTAGGCAGCAGACTTGTTTGTGAGCCAAGAAAATCAAAGAACTTAAAGAAGTAAGTGCATGTTTTCAATGTAATAATGTATCAAAAAAAATTATGAACTTCTGATTGACTGAAAACAAGTGCATTCTCATGAAACACAAATTCAAAGTTGTAACAAAAGTGCAAATTACAAATGATGCATGGATGCTCTCAAAATTTTGTCTTTCTTGAATTTCTAAGACATCTTTTTATATATATTATCAACAGGTAATAACATGATTTCTCTTCCAATTTGGTATAATAAGCACTTGTCTAGTAAATTTTTTAAAGACTATTAATTGAACTTGGAAATTTTTGAAAAATTTACTCATGCTGATTAACACCAAATTGGACTCAAAATAATCTTATTAACTGTACTTATTGCAAGCTGCTGTGATATATACTCTATGGAATACGTAACAAAGCATGAAAAGAATTGGTGTTTTGGAGTATACATCCCATTCAACCCTTTGACCCTTTAACTCCCATGAGTGACCAAGACAGAATTTCTCCTTACAATATCAATACAATGTCAACCAGATAAGTGATGAGAATAAAGAAAAATATCACTTTGGGAATAATTATTTGATCCAAAACTAAATTCTCTGAACTAACATTATAAGAATTGTATGGTTGACAGTAAGGAGAATTACATATTTGATCTGGGAGTTAACGGGTTAACTCCAAAGAGTGATAACTTCTGATTTCTCCCAACAGTATCATTGCTGAATCAAACATGAAGGTCATGAGAATACAGAAAATGGTTGTGAACTCAAGAAGTTTTTGATTGATAGACAAATTCTCCTTGTAAGTACCATAAGAAATATACAAAAAACAGTAAGGAGAACTTGCATACTGATGCTAGGATGTAAAAGGTTTAAAGCTGCAGGATTAGAAACTTGGCTAGTTTCTTACCTCGGTACTCGTACTTTGTAGTTGCTACCATTGCTCACACTTGGCAAAGCTCCTGAACCAGAGGAATGAGGAATCACTCCAACCTGAACAATTTTCAAACTATTCATTTAAAGCTGCATTCACTGTCAGTACTACTGCATGTAAAAATTACTTGATTCTAAAGCGCTCTACATTGAGAATTTTTCCAATAACATTACACTGCTTAAAAATTTACAAATCATTAAATCATAGTAATGTTGCAAAAGTCTATCCAAAGATGTGATAATATTGTTGTACAGCTATATGTAGAAAGTTTCAAAATCTATTTAAAGCATTGTAGCGATTGTGTACAAGTGTTTGTCAGCATTCATGTAGTAAGTATATTCAAGAATCCCAGTCCAAGGCCTGTGAAAACCTCATGGCTATGGCTACCCCTTGCTGGGATCCTCTGGTCAGCTCAGATAGTACCTTGGCATGGGATTAGGACTTATGGTTGGGCTGTAATAATTTCCCAGCCAAAGGAGGGATTATCTATCTAAAGAGCTAGCCAGCCAAAGTAGACACCCCAGGTAGTTGCACCTAAGATCAAATACCCCTGATTTACATTGATGTTCACTGTAGCCAACAATAATTTGTCATGACTGAGATTTTTGTTTGTCTGGCATAATTATGATTTAATATACATAAAAAAGGCAAGACTTGTTGACTCAAATTTCTGAAATAATTCAAGCCTTCCAGGCAAGATTTCTGCAAAGTCCCTAACTTTCTAATTATTCTCCATTACATACTGTTTTGTGATAAAGAAAACAATGGTGAAGACGATGGGGCTATGGAATTACTGATTTGTGTTAGTATGGTATTGGGTTACAAGGAAATCTTTCCGCCTTCAAGAACAATATTGAACATTACGATTTAAGAGAGATGTGAAAAACTTGACCATATGGCCGCTGAAACGAAGAAATATCTCTCCCCTTCGATAATTTTGAATGTAACATGAAATAAATGCATCGTTAGTAAAAATTCGAGAGAAAAGCAATTTAGACTAGGAGATCAATACGAAATCACTACAGTTGAACATGACACATCAGGACGTGAAATCAATTTCTTTTCTGACAGCTACTTGGCTCCTAAATTCTTCAAAGTGGTAACCAATTCAAAAAAAGTTGGTCGCTATTTTCAAAGACAAACAAAACCTTTTTTTCACGCTGTCATCGTTCTAGAAATTAAGTTAGGGAAAAGATCTTTAACTTGCTACAAAGTGGACACTAGGATGGATGATGTGCTGCGTTTGGGACACAAACTTAATGAGGAAGTTTGCTGTGGATTTATCTTTTTAATTCACTATATCTCTAAGTAAGGAAACATTCTAGTCGCCAATTTGGCGACCAATTTTCAGGATTTGGTCGCCAAAGTGAAAAATTTAGTCGCATTGGCGCCTGTATTAGTCGCAATTTCACGCCCTGCACATACAGCGCTAACAAAATCTTCAACATGATCAATGTTTTCATATTGAATTTCTTCCGATGACTAAAAATATCATTACCTTCTTTTCACACTATGTCTTACCTTTTGTTGAAGGATCGGCTTTGCACTCACTTGAATTGGGGAGGTAGTTCTATGCTTTTCCATTCTTTTCCTCTAGAACAGGACAACGAGAGGGAAGAGTAAAGAAAAACCCAAATAATATCAAATATGCGAAATTGATTTAGTAATCAAAAGAGCGCCATTTTGAATGCTTAGTAACCTCTCGAATTTGACTTAGTGACCACGTCGCAAAGATTCGGTTACTTGTTCATATATAAGTGTTATTGTCATAATTATTATCATCATCACCGTTATCGTCACTATTACTGCTGTTGTTGCTGTCAATATTATCGTCATCATCGTCATTGTCATTTACAATTTCTATCATTATTAACATCGTTGTGATTATCTTCATTATCATCGTTTTTGTGTCATAGAAGAACGAGCCCTACGCCGTAGTGATCACATGGCTCAGGTTCCTCGTTTGAAATTTTGAGATCTGTTTTCATGATAATAGTTTCTAGAACGCAATTGTACGACGGAAATGAAGTCTTGGATGATTTTAGATCAAACGTCAACGTTGCAGGAGTTAGTCTGTTTGTTTGTTTGTTTGGTTTTTTTTACCCGATGTTTCATCGTGACTGTTCGAAGAGTTTAGAAACTTGTAATTAACGATTTTTTAATTTTACGATGGAATACATTTTGACTACAGAGTTCTTTTAATACCGTTTTTCTTCTTCTTCGTCTTATTATCATAATTATTGTGATTATTATCATTATTTTTATTAGCATTATCATCAGCATACTTAGTGTCATTATGTATGCAAGTTATATATCGATACATACGCTCCATCTCGTACCTTGAAGTTCCATCTTCACTGCGAAATTAACTTCTTAAATGCTCGGTATAAGTGCGCGTCGAAATTAAGCCTTAGATTTATAAACCATGGGCCAAATTCTGTTACTAAAGATGATAAAGGGGCGGAAGAGAAAATAAAAGTGGAACCAAAACATAGATCTGTAGCGTATTGGTATTTTTCTAAATTTAGTGTAGGCCCTTTTGATAAAAATCGGCGTTAAGATAACGGCGTAATTCGTAATTTCATTAGTCTGTACGTAGGAGCATTTCATGAAGTCACCAGGTTGTCGGACGTGATATATCATTAATAAATTAAAGGGGGTAAGTTTCTAAAGAAACGGTGGCGCTGCGTCGGTGGGAGAGTGTAACAGTGTAATTAAGTATAATCAACTGAGTTGATAACGTAAATTCGCCCTTACGTAGGGCTAACGCTCGAGACGTGAGCTTTTTAAGTCGTTACGGAAGCCAAATTGCGGTAGCAACTCAGTTGATAATACGAGATTACCCAGTGTTATATCACAACCGGCCATAATAAAGCCACTAACACATAGAGATTAATTCCATAGAAAGTGCGCACGAACGATTTTTATTCACGAGATGAGTTGCATCTCTGCTGTCCACTGAAAGGAAATTCAGAATGTAGAGAATCTTACTACAAAACTACAAAACATTTTCGCAATAAGTTTTAGTAATGGGTACATTCTATTACATTTGCTTTTCTTTTTAATTAACTGTATCCTGAAAAAAATTGCACATCACCGAAAAGCCAGCATATTCAAGGTTGACCACCAAGAAAACAAAGGCAACCAAACGAACAAAGCCAAAAAGAACAAAAACAAAGTAAGTTGATTGACGTGTTCACCCTTCTATTGTACTTTTCACGTAACTATAGTAACAATCACAAAAAAAAAGAAAACCATTCAAATACAGCCATAAGGTCTACTCCCTGCAGTGCTCTTCTCCCTCCAGTGATTTTTCGATTGTTTCTTTTGGTTTTCCTTGATTTCCTTGTCAAGTTCGATTAACATTTCGTCGGGTTAAGGGGGCGGGGAGGAGAGGTGGTGAGGGGGTAGGCGTAGGGAGGTCGAGCAGAGAAAGTACATTTTACCCTGTGCGTAGTCTCGAATATGGCCTTTCCCAAAAGGGAACACTTTGATTAAGGTTTAAATTTCCTAGGAGATAAATTGGTAAGGACCGAAATATCAGGCCAAGCGATTCAGTCGATGTCAAACAAACGTGGAAAAGACGGAAACAAACTAGCATTGGAAGAACAGCCAACCGTCAGTAATCAAATCCAAAATAACAGATGAAATTTTTTCTTGAAATTAATGCTTTTGTGAAAACATGTGACATTTAATCCATGCATGCAAACTTCACGATTCGAAACCCATGTGTGTACGCATTGCGGACCTTTTTGTTCTTTTTGTCTTGATATCCAAGTCTTTAATTGAGCAGTAATTTTTTCCTTTCCTTTTCCTTTTTTTTTAAGTTTTTTGCTTATTTTTAAAATATTTTTTAAATTTTTTTAAACTAAACTAGTGAGAGGCACTCTGCGAACAGTAGCTGTAACACTTCTTTATTCTCTGACGACGCTTTTCGTCAACTGTCGTAGACTTCTTCAGGGAGTTTTACAAGTTAACACTAAAAGCCAGTATTTATTAGCCATTGTTAGCGGCTATAAGGGGGCCTAAGACCATAAAGGCTTGGCCGGACATACGAACAGGAACAGGGAAAAATTTGAACATTTTTTTGAGAAAAATATTTGGGGGCCACGGTTTTAGCTAAAAACTGTCTTTCCTCCCAATGAACTATGTTCACTAGAGGAAATACTTGAACCCAAACAACATGATCAGCACAGCAATCTGGTAAAACTTCTGATTTTACAGATTCCAATGACATTAGCTTTCATGTTGTCTTTGTCCAGTAGCTGTAGGCTGATAATAAAAAACCCCCCAAAACCTCAGAAGCAGGAATGAAAGGCAAATGTAAAAAGTGTCTGAGTCAGTCTAAATGCTGTTGTTTTCCCATGTCCTCAACGCCAATGAAGTCTTCACAAAGATGAATAAGCACTTCTTATCACAGGTCAACCAGTGCTAATACTCCACGATATTTGAAGAGATGATAACTGATGTACTAGATTCCGGATTGGGAAGTTGTATTCCCTTTTTGAATTTTAAGACCATGAAGAATCGAATCTTATTACACAACACATACTAGATAAGGGAGTGTCCCCCTCCTGCAAAAGACAAGCCTTCTCTGGCCCATACCACCACAGCCTATTATCATTTCTATCTCCCACTAGGTGGTACTACTACTTACTCCGGACCAGATGCGAGCCAGGTTTTCCAGGCAGTTTGGTGGTACCGATTGATGTATGGCCAGCATGCAATGGCGTAACAGCCAGTGGTCATTGTGTTTTGTTCTTGGACTCAACACTTTACTCTGACAGACCCCTAGCTCTCTCTGCCCAGGGGTGCAAATGGGCACCAGCAGACTGTCAGGGAAGCTTGATAAAATGCTGGGGGTGGAAACCCTCTTATGGACTGGTATCTGATCAGGGGGGAGTGGTAACTCTCCTGGTCCCTTCATGCGGAAACTGGGATAAGCTGCAGGTGTATGGGCCACTTTGCCGGAGTTCAAACCTAAACTATTTTTTAGTCATATGCTTTGCAGAATGAGAGTATAATGTCCAGCCAAAAGACACAAAATCATAACTCCAGCAAGAGCAAGGATGAAAAGGCACTCTATTTTCTTGATAAACACCTCCAATGATGAATTCACATTAATTTGTTGACTTTTTATACAAGGTGTTTGGAAATTCAATTAAGCCTGGATGTTATCATAAGGTTAAGGGTTTTACTTAATATCTACAAAAGCTATCAATCATGTCATAATTTTCACTGTGACATTAATACGCCTCAAATTAAATGCATCTCACTTGGCTGAACTTGAGTCTTGTATATGCAATCTATATTCTACTGGGATCATATAGTGAAGTCCACTTGAAAGGTGGACAACAGGAACATGACAAGGCAATAATATAGACCAATTTTCAGTCAAGTGTTGAGAGTAATATGGAATGCTATTGGATTTGCTTCATTTCTCTTGTAATTTGTCTGAAGAACTTACGTCACAGATGTGCTTTCCTGCACTAAGGCACAATTCATCAATTTACTATGAGTTTGCATTGTTCCCTGTACTGCTGGTCTTTGCTCAAATAACCATTTGGGATCACTTTAGTTTTATTTAAGTCAAAAATTTCTTTATGTTGTGTGCATAAGCATCAAGCCTTCCATGAAAAAATATACTTTATTGTCCTTTTCATACCAGAAGGATGCTGGACTTAAATAGAATAAATGCAAACTTACTTTGCAAAAATATGCTCCAACCTTTGGAAAAATTTAATATCTACAAATTTTGGGGCACTTTTTTTCTGCAAAGATCACTCTGTCTTATATACAAAAGATGTTGAATAATCTACAGTTATTTTACATCTACGCAAAACTGCCAATGTCATGTTTAAATTATTAGTATATTGGACTTTGCGGAAGTCAATATTCAATGGCAATTTGATTACTTGCCTTTGGGGACATAAATTAAATTTGAGCATGTCTGAAAAATGTCATGTTCAAGTTTCTTGAACATATGTTATCATTGAATGTGATCGTGAGAATAGACAGGGCATTTGTTGTCAACATGGTTAAAAATTTACAATTATTAGTGTGTGTAACGACAAATAAATAATTAACACAGTCTATGAGCTTATAACCATCTGATTGGTTACAATACAAGGCAATAATATTGAGAAAGATTATGCAACTTGAATACGACTGCATGAGACTGTTAACTAATGGAAGAACAATACAAGATGAGAAAATCTAAATTAAATATTCACAACTCAGTCCTTTGAGGTTTTAATTTAATACCTCACAAATTGATCCAGTAAGTTTTTGCTCATTCAATTGAGTTTATGATAATTTCCAATGATTGGTTCTTTTTATGTCAGTTAAAGCATTTTGCAAAGAAAATTTTTATATCCCTCACACTCATGATAATATATTACAACTGATGGTCTCCTGCCACAACTTAGAAACGTAACCAAACAAATGATTTATGTATGTAGTGTTTGCATGTCTCGATTTCTTTCCAGAGAGCCTCACAAATGATATGTTTATGTACAAATGTTTGAGTAAAAATGTGTGAAAACTGTATGCAAACACCACTCAAGAGTAAATCTGTGATAAACAATGATAATTCACGAACCTGCATGAAACACACAATGGAATATCAAAGATGAAATCCGTTCAAATCTGCTCAGCGCAACAATAGTAATAGGTTTAAATTTCAAAATTAAAAATTAAGAATTCAAGATTTCAGTACCTCGATAATTATAAGCTAAGTTCGCGCCTGTAGTACAATTTTGTGTCTAGGATCACTACAGGATTGTACAAAATTTGGATTTAGGTTGTGCTTTCGCATTTCTCTCGTTGTTTTCAGCCTTCTGTGGTCGAGAGTCTGTCATGAGGTGATTGTTGTTACTATAACTACTCAAAGTTGACGTTTTTCGCATAAGCTCTATTTTTTTTTTCGCAATTCGATGCAGTATCACTCTATAGGTCCCTGTTATACTGTCTCTTGAATCTCTGCAGTTTGCATATAGATCAGAAGAAATACCAAGTTCTTTCATCGTGTTCAGTGCGTCCCTTTCATCCTCAGATAACTCACTTAACTTGTCCTCTGGAGGTCGCAGACTATATTTGGTGTCCGGCCGTGGAAAAGATTCTCCTTCTAGCCAAGCGGAATGCTTTATCTCTTCCATAGTAAATCTGTCTGTGGGAACAGGTCTTAAAATGTTCCTTATGAGAAATTTACAGCGATCGGACAAAAACTCCGGCAAATAATAAGTTCCATCTAAAATACATTTCTTCAGCTTTCCGACAGTCTCCGCTCGAAATGGCATAACGCCAGTTACCATGAAATATAGAAGTATTCCTAAAGCCCACAGGTCGACATAAACACCGATGTAATGTTCATCCTTGAACAACTCTGGAGCAGCATAGGGTGGCGAGCCGCAGAAGGTATTCAGTGTGCTATCCTTTGTCGACAAAGTACTAAACCCAAAATCGCCAACTTTTACAAGATTCGGACCAGCAATGAACACGTTCTCTGCTTTGAGATCGCGATGAATGATGTTATTATCATGCTACAAAAAATAGGAAAAGAAAAATATTTCAAGAACATCATTGGCAACATTGCAACTAAACTTAACGTTAATTATTCAACACTATTATGTTTATCATAACACTGCTCAAATCACCACGAGCAGGAACGATCAGTTTTCTTACATAATTCAATTAGACGAACCGTGTAAGCTTACCTCGGGTTTTCGATGGCAAATACCTTTTCAGCAGGAAGCGATTTTCGAGTAGTCGGGCGGTTTGTTGTCGCTATTAAGGTTGTTTCATCAAAAGCTGTTCATAATTAAAGAAATGAATACAAATTGCCGACTCACCATATGTTCAACAGCGGATGTCACTTGAGCATATATTCGGCGAGCTGTTCGTTCATGTAGTTTACCCTCATTCGAAATTCGAGCGAACAATTCGCCACCAGCAGCGTATTCCATCACAAGGTATAGCTTCGAGAGCGTTTCGATTACTTCGTAAAGTCTGATAATATTGGGATGATGAAGCTTTTCCATAGAAGAAATTTCTCTTGATAACAATCGTTGAGTTTTCTGATCCAACTTTGTCTTGTCTAAAATCTTGATAGCAACCTTGTCTGCAAGAAAAGTGTCTAAGTGAGTTCCGCATCGCACGCGAGCGAAATTACATTCAAAGATATTTTGATCGCCTAAACTAACCTCTTGTGAGTGAATGTATTCCCATTTTGACCTGACAGAAGTTTCCGCTTCCTAACTCTCCTCGAATGCGATAAAATCCAATTCGTTTGCCGAGAGTTATTTCTTTCAGATAGCGTTCGTCGTGAGCTAAATCGTGTGTCAGTCGTTCGTAAGGAGTTAGACTCTTTTCCCGATGGTGTGATATTGATTGTTTCCGTTCTCCTTCCTCATTAGGCTCCCTAGAGGAAGAATCGGCCATAGTGTTAGAAACCGTCATGGCTGTAACATGCTGTTCACCGCCATTGCGAGAGAGGATAGAGTAGTCGTCATGAGCGAGCGGTAGTTCTGTTGTGACGGTGAACAAAGGCTACGAAAGTCCTGGGTGTTACCATGGAAACGCTGATCCCTCGATTGGGTTTCCTTTGTGATCGTCTGAATGCTTTATGTGAGGTGTCGCAATGTTTTTGTAACTTCTCCAATTCCAGCGTCAAGAAAGAAGTCAAACAGATTTTATGGCACTCTGAAGAGGGCTAGAAAAAGTAAACGTCCATAGCCTTTTAGATTAGATTTGATTTAACTATCGTAAAATGGGTTATTCGAGAACCTTTCTTCCTTGAAATGAATACAGATTAGTGAGCCTTTATCTTCTAAACAAACTTCCCGTAAAGTAAGTTCTTTCTTGACGTTATCAGCTCTAAGACGTAAATTACACGTGGAGATTGTTTTATTTAAAACAACGTTGTTAGTTAAGTATTTGCGCTTAATTGTAAATACTAAATTATTGAAGGTATCCGTTTCATTAAATCGCGCTGGGCGGTCTTTTAACCGATACTAATGAAAAAATTCAACCATACAAAACAAACATTTATTTCACTGTAAATGTCTACTTGATCCTGCAGGCAGATTATTCTAACGAACTGACGTCCAACTTGCGTGATTGAATGAACTAAACAAGTTGTTATTAGCAACGGCGCTTCACGCAGTCTCTTCTGGACACTTTCAATTTAAAACATCGATCGAAATTTGTCGTTTTCGCGACCGAGGGAAACAGATTTTGTAAAATTTTTCAGGATAAGGAGAAAAGTTATTTTTTGCTGTAAATGATAGGCAAATATGATGTCCTGACCATGTGAAAAGAATAATATTTCGATCAGTTGGCCTGATTTCGTGGGATTGGAAATTAAAAACCTGGAACTTTTAACAAAGTTTACGATTTATGTAGTTAACAATGTAATACAAAGTGATAAAAAAATATCCCAAGTCGTTAATGTAAAGAGGTAATATCGCGGAAATCTTACCGAAAATGATCAGTGATCTGGGAAGTCTGCAGCGCGGTCGGAAAATGAAAACTTTAATTCGTGTTACATGTTTGACACTCAAGGCGACAAAGTCATGCCACTAAAGCCTTCAGGCAAGGAAAACCAGAGGCAGAACTTCACCGTAAAAGCAGTCAAGTAGGTGCGAGACTAACACATATTTTTGGCCATTCTGAACACAACACATACCATTAAATAAAAATCTTACTTGAGACAATAACGCTTTAGGCTTTGTTTTCAAGAGAAGTGGTTAATGGGACCAGACCACGGAAGAAAACAGCTGTTTCTAAGATTGTTAGCTCTCCATAGTAGCAATTATTGTTGCTTTGTATATGTAGTTTACCGGGCGGTTAGAATTTTACTTTTTCTCTATGACAGTGAATGCAGATATGGACCTTGATGTGGTTGGTGGGGAGGTTGACTCCGTGTGATTATCTTCTCTTCAACCAGGTTCTAAAGTTTCTCTCTCTTCCCAGCCTCCGTTGCCTCTTATGCTTGAGTACACTGAGCAACCCACCTCAGCCCACCGTTGTCTCTTCCCAACCCTCATATTACTGATGCTCAGAGTATTATCACGCCTGCAAACATTCTTGTAGTGCATTTGGCCTAAAGACCGGTCGACAGAGTCTTGCAAAGGGTCGATCCCCATAAAGGATATCCCCGAGACTCTCATCCGGTGGGCGTGGCCAAGTCAATCCCGCAGCGATGACTAAGCCGAGCTAATACAGATGAAAGAAAAATCTGATCCAAACAGTATGAAATAAACCAAAGTGGCCAAATCCTCCGAAAACGATAACGAGGGTGGAAAAAAGACATTTCACCTACTCTAGACAATGTGTGCAATGTGTAGCTACATTACTTTTTGAAAATCTGAAACAGTTTGTAAAGACGAGTTCACGCCAGTATACAATGCGGTAACAGAGGTACGACGTTATCAAAACTATCTCAGCTGCCACCACTTAGAGCTTTACAGTGACTAATGCGTACCCTTAACTTAATCCCGTTCTCTATAGTTTGGTAGACACTCTGGAAAACGAGCACGAAGCGCGAGCGTCCACGGAAAGAAAAAAAAAAGAAGTGGGGGGAGGGGGAAGAAGCGGAAGGAACATTGTGCCTTACATGTAACCACTTCCCTCCCTAGGCGCCGACTGATTTTCAGCGGAGACGTCCGTCTGGGTACTAGGCTAACCTTAATTTGACGTCTCACCACATTCGATTACTTTATATCTCCTGTTTAAAAAAACGGGCGGAAAACAACTTTAAAAGCTTTTCTGGTGGAAGTAAAACAAAGATAGTAGAATGTCCCCAATTAGCCTCGGTTCGATGTGCTCATCCCTGGTTTTCTTGTCTATGACAAACCCACATAAATCGAACGTCAGTCAGAAAGTGTGACGTCGGGTTCGACCTTCTCTAGTTTTGATTTCCTCTTCCTTTTGCCTTTCATTTCTCGTATTTCATGTCACACCAGACGAAGTGTCACAAGAAAGAGTTTGTCATATTCAATGAGTTCACGACACGTGATATGCTGCTAATATGTGACATAAAATTTCCAGAGAAGAGAACGAATCAAATTCCTGGGTAGCACTGTTTTATACAAGCAGCATTAATTTACAGTTATTTCCTTGTTTACAACGCTCTTAAAATTTTTCCAATAAATGTTTTGTAAATACGTAGTGGTCGTCGACATTAGGGAGTTCGGATCAGTGTCGTGGAAGCAAAACCCAAGTAATCACAACGGCCCAACAGAATAAAATGAAATGCCACAAAGGGCCAGAACTCAAACTAATAACAACCAAAATTGCCTAAATCCCCAGTTGTGATGGGTTTTGATTTGCTGAAAAGATAGCGCAAGTTTCCTAAAGAAACCCCAGATCGAAGAAAAGTAAAATCCAAGAAATCATGGATCGCGTTTGACATTTAAAGCATTCGTCGACTGAGTGTCGAAAGTGAGACTATTAGTGCAATTTCGAAAGCAAGTGTCGAAAGTAATCTCAGATTACATTGGTTTTGCTTTACTTCGCTCTGTGATTGGTCCAGAAAAATTGCCCACCCACTTAGCTAATCAAATGGAAAACAAAAACGAATCAAGACGTAGTCGCCCGCATTTTCCCGCGCCTTAGGCGATTTGGTCGTTTATACTGTGAGTCCTCATTGGCTCTTATTGTATTTTCCTTTCTTCTGATTGGCCGTTGTAATCACTTTGGTTTTAGAGTCGAAAAGCGCTCTAATAGGAATTTGCTCCATTGTTTAAGCTTTCTTCATTGTTGTTGCTGTTGTTGTTTAGCTAGCGTGAGTGTTTCTCTCCTCCAGTCCCTCTGGCAGCATCTCTCACTTTTCTCATGGCCAACTTCCGGTATCTTTCTAGTTCCTGCACAAATTAAAAGTAAATAAATAAACAACTGGTTTGAAACGTACTTTACAACCGAGACAAGGTCAAGGTAAATTTGATGGGTGCTTTTTACTTTTAGCCTATTACACCCTAACATCAGTATGTATTTTGTCCACATTGCTCTCCTTACATTTCCTGAGGTGCTGAAAAGGAAAGTTCGTTTAAAAATAAAAAGCTTCTTTAGTTGCTGATCATTTCCTTTAATCTCGTGACTTTAATGAGTAATTCACGAATGATAATGTGAGGAGAAATTAGATGCTGGTCACTCTTGGGGGTCAAAGGGTAAAGGTCTGGCGAAACTGGTTAATTGGTTCTTGCCGGTGAGTGAGAACGTGTGGGTGTTGTTTGGCAACATTTTCAACATTATTAACCACTTAATGGTCCAGTACATTTCCCGACAACATTTAAGATTACTCTGCACAGGAATGCGAAACTTAGAGGCCTTACTCACGGAGGACAAGGCCAGTTTGACCAGAACATCTCTGTAAGTTCTCAGAGCAAGACGCCGGATCCAACCGTCCAGTTTTGATTAATGGAAATCTGCATTAATTTACCTCATCTTTCTGTTTCCTCATGGTGTCGACCGCTGGTTCAGCATACTGCGGATCTTTAGATGGGTCTTCGCTTGTGTTCCGCCCTTGGGATTTCTTAAGTCAGACAGAATGTTAATCACAGCCCTGAGCAAACTTATATAAAGACGTTTTATCAAGCGCTGTACTCAAAAGCAAATCGCAATAGATTTCAGTTTTAAACAACAAATGTTTTACCTCGGGAGGAAAAAACGTGGCGTAGGCAGCCTTCCAAAGCTCATACGGATCCCTAAAATACAAAGCAAACAACTCAAAAAGTATTCATAAATCCGAGAGATGACTCTACCGAGCAATCAGATACAAGTTTCACCAGACAGGAAAATTCCTGTGGCTTTTTTTGACGCCCATTTATTAATTTATATTTTTATCACAAAAAAATTACCAAGAGCACTAAAAGCGTAAACTAAACTTGGATGTATACAAATGCTGGAAATTCAAAAAAGGATTTGCTGGGTTGACTGGCTCTCGATTTGGAATTTCTTTTGTGAAACTCGTCCATTCCGTGTTCAACCAATCAGATAAAAGACTAACCTGAGAAAATTTTCGCCAGGTTAGTCAAGAGATGATTAATCTATGATACTTATGTGACCATTTCAACCAAGGATTGTTTTGACGCTAAGATTGCAGCACTTGTTACAAACTGCTGGCTTATGTAGTTCCTCCTTGAAAAACCATTTAATTTTGTCGACTTTCGTTTTATATCTCAATGTTTTCCACGCATTACACAATCTAAAACAGGTTGGATAACTTGGTCTACATACTAGCTGATCGACTAAAAATGTATCAAATCGATGTTTTGTAACTGATTTAATTCTTGAATAATTCACATCATTACACTAAGATAAGCAAAGTGGGCGAATATCTGATCAACACGGAAGAAATCTAAGGACGACAAATCATGGTATTTACCTGCTGTGCATTTTTCCCATGTCTTGATTTGCAACTGGAGGTGATCCTAAATGCAAAGAAAAATATCTTATAAGGATGTACCCGCTGGTACACAAAATCACTTTAAAGTTCTCTTTTTTTCGTGCACATCGTGCAATTTAAGAGACAAAACAAAATAATGACACTATCGACAATACTGAAGCGACCAGGAGGTAAAAAAATAAACAACATTTTTCACCTATTTGCGAAAAAGAGTCCTGTCCAGCCGGAACAATGATGGGTTTGTTATGATCCACTGATACCACCTTACTGTAAAAGAATAATAAGGTCACAAAACTTCCTATATTTTACAAAATAGGATAATTTCAACGAACGTCTAAAACTATTTAAAATTTAAGCGTCACAGGGGTCGTGTCCATTTCAAAATCCGCAGTGAAAAGAGTTTTAAAAGGTTGATGGCATAGCCTCTCTTACCTGAGCGATTTCTAAAAATGATAAAACTGCAATTAACTTTCCAATTTAGTCAATTTTTTTTATCTTAATTAGCCTTGGATGCTCGTAGAATTAATTCCCCAATCTATTACAACCCACATCAATTTTTTTTGGCTTTTGGTACCAGTCCCCAGCTAGTTTAGCGATGGACCATGAGGACTAATTTTGGTCTCATTTGTCACTAGTGAGATAAATTTAAGTCTTAGAGACTTCAATGGGAAGAACCTTAAACATTCCATTGCCGCTATTCCATTCCTACAGAGAGATCTCGGATAAGAAGATAAGGCACATACTTCTTCCACATGTAAAAAGCTGAGTATCTATCGAGATATTACAGATATGGAGAGTTCCCCTTTTAAGTCAATTTTTGGTTCAGTTTCCTATACTCAAAGGCATAGTTTTTCTTCAAAATGTGTTGGTTTGATACGAAGCATACTATTAAAGTGCCATACAGTCACTACGGCATGGAGGAAAACTCACCTGAGGGGGGTGCGGAACAACAGTGACCCCACCAGACCTCGGGTGCGGTTCGTCAGACCCTCAGCTTTAGTGCTAAAAAACTGATGAGGAAAATGAAGGCTTCTTTGGAATCCAAACCAGACAATTGAAATCACAGGAGCGTAATCATTTGTACACGTTAACTGTAGGTTCGCTTTTTCGGTGAAGTCCATCGCGCGAGTCAATAAAAATCAGCGAATAACAAAAATTATACCAGCGCGCCGCGTGGAACTCTACTTTTCGTGCGCCTCACTCCCAGAGTTCTGCGCGGCGTGCTTACATCAAACTAGCGCGACGGACTTCGCCTAGTGGGAGGGGCAGCTTCTCGGTCGCCACCCGATCTAAAAGGAAAACGAACTCCTCTATCGGTCTCAAGGCATCATTATAACATACAAAGTATCTCATTCTCCAGTGCATCTTGATGGACCCGAGTGAAGCGTTGACTGAAATTAAGAATAGCTTAAGCTGAGTTCTTCTTGTTAGGCGAAACAAAAAAAAATCAGTATCAATTCAACCAACCTGCAAATGAGCGCCGTTCTTGTGTGCCACAAATCGCAGTGCTCTACTTATCATTTTCCGTTTCTCGGGATCAAAATCCTGCGAAAACAAAATTGACGAACCATTCACTGATAGCTACAAAGGACTCCCCTAGGAGTACCAATACAATTTCAACCCAAATTGGAGTGTCTCCAAAAAGCCCTTCGAGTTCTTTTAACCGGATGACGAGACAGTTATTCTGCTACCGGTGATGTTTATACTGTGTGTAGAAGAATTTGATCCGTTTTCTAGTGTGCAAGGAAACCTTTTATTGCCTTTCCAGAGCAAAAATACCGTTTTCGATTTTATCCCGCATGGTGTGAAAGGGGCCTACTTCACGAAAAATACCGAAATGAAACTTTACATAATAGTGTTTAGTTAACCTTCATTTCCTCTCTACAAGGTATACATTCTGACAGAACAAGCGTTTCCTGTTATATGCAGAAGCGCAAAGTATTAGGACATCTCTAACAGTTGCCATATTTCCTACAACACCATGAGTATCGCAAAGATGCGACCAGGAGCATGTCTATTGCCAACAGCCCACGTTCGGCCCCTTTTACACCTGAATCGCAGTGAATCACAAGTTGTAGAATGTTCCTAGATATAGCAATAATCCATATGGAGTACAGTGACTTCCAATTTCACAACTCCCCTCCCGCCCACCCCCTCTATAGCATGAGACTGCCCATGGAGTGAAATAAGAGACAATACTAGTAACACAATGATGGAACACAACCTGCCCCTCTCACTACCTTAAGGTTACTTCCCACCTCCGCGGGTGTCCTTCGGGAAAAAAATTCGTATGCGCGCTAGTTTCACTAAAATCCTAGCAATCTATTCATCAGAAGAAAGCTTAATAACTGCAGATTACGATAAAATATAATTTAAGGAAGTGTCAAGAGCCGGTAAGGTGTGAAAGAGTTCAGAATTTTTTTTTATGGAGACGTTAGGTTAAATGTTTGAATTCAGTTTAGTCAAATAGAAGAAAAATCGATTTTTTCGGCGTCTGAAGGTGGGAAGTAACCTTAAATCCTGATAGGTCGGTTGACTACGAACCTGATAAATATCGTATTTTCCGCCAATTATGGCCAGAGGTATAGGAAACGGATCGATGGAAGATTTGTCCTACAGAAAAATGGATTCATTTCTGATTTAAAAAAATCAGTTCATTGAATTAAATTGATCGTGTAGTCTGATCTTCCGCGTCAGAGTGGTCCTAAGAAGACAGTAGGAACTGACGGTTCGATAACATCGAAGGATTACATAATCAGAATCAAGTGACTTTTCACTACTGCGTGGGTAGTGTTCATCACTGTGAAGATCGCATCCAAATTCATTTCTTAAACCACAATGCACATATTTGATTATCATATATTAACAGTCATTTATTCATTACTTCACGGGTTTATTTTGAACCAACAAAATGACCTGCTTCCAGTTAACTTGTTAGCTCAGTCGGTAGAGCACAGCACCGGCATCGCAGAGGTCATGGGTCCAAATACCGTACAGGCCTTGGTTTTGCTTCCAAATTCAAGACGCAACACTAATAATGACCTCCACAAAGGTTTAAGAAACGCCAGCTACCACCACTGACAACAGTCCATCTCAGGACTACTTTCAGTCGGACAATCAGACTACATGATCTAATGTTATTACAAAATTCAAAAGTTTCACTCCAAATTATAGTTTGGTTATTCAATAAAAACAACTAAATGTCATTGAATATGACATAAGAGATAGAAGCTAGCAGGTGATGTCTGAAAATTGTAACAATAAACCATTACACCAACACATTGCAGGAATTAACAAACTCCAAATAATATCAATACTGATTGCCATAACAAGGTAAAAAAATTTGGGCTAAATTTTCAGAAGGTGTTAATGAACAGAAGTTACTTCTCCTCACTTACAGGATGTTCTTCTCCAAATTTCTTCCAAGCTTGCTTCTTTATCTGTTGCACAGAACTTTGAAAGACGAGAAACCGTGATTGATCATCATTTCAGGCAGTTTCTCATGGTTTAACACCAGATTCTAATTTTAAAGATCCCCTGAAGGTTATTCAAAGTGTGTTCTCTGACAAGCCTGTTTTCCTCATAGTGAATAAATGACATTGCACTGTATAAATACTTGACAGTGAGATGTCAAAAAACTGTGAAACCGCTGAGGACAGGGTTACAGCATGCAGCATCCTCTCCAGGAGTTAGAGTGAGAGCAGTAGTAAGGCGGGTGAAAAATTTATAGGCATGACAAAAAGGAAGAATTAGCACCATGTAACAACTGGGAGTGATTATTGAGGGGTTACCCCCCCCCCCCCTTCCCCACCATATTTCCCTATGTCTCCCTGACAGTTTGCCAGTGCCCATACCTACTCTTGGGTGGAGAAAGACACTGTAAGGATAAGGTGTCTTGCCCAAGAACCAAGCACAGTCACCCACTCACAACTTGAACCTTTGATTCAGTCCTAACAACTAGACTGCATCTCCCATTTCATATGAGCCAAATTTGTTTTGGATACATTCATGCACAAAGCTGGAAAAGAGGGACTGCTTCTCTGAGAGGAGCAGCAAACAGGTGGAAACACTTTATTGCATCCACATCAGCAGGTATGTAGATGCAGGTGTTGCCTCATTAGACTAAACAAGATAGCAGCCATATCAGCAGCAGGGTTTTCAATAACTTTTCCATAAGCATATGCCGATGGTGTAACAAGGCTTCCATGCATGGAAGAGGGTCATAAGGCAAAACCCAAATAGGAGGGCTGCTTGAAGGCTAAACAGACAGCTGTAAGTCTTAGTGGTGACTGCTGACCAGCTTTTATTGAAACATCAGCCCATATGTAACATCATGTAATAGAGCATACACAAAATATCATTCAGCATATAGCAAAATATACCTTACCCAGGCTCTTTGCTCTCTAACCCTTCCAGGGCTTTGTTCACTTTAGATTTGACCTAAGGACACACACCATAATATAATAAATAAATCCTGCAAAAAGAAACTCAGAACTAAACAAACAATTCAAGAATCATAACAAATTCCTTGTTATACTTTTGTAACAATTAAGGTTTCCTTCAACATGGGTAACTTTTGGTCACATTTATTTACATCCATGGAGAATACTAAGGAGAGACTTAGTAGAAGAGTGTAAATACCTTATACAAGAAGGTATATCTATTAGACTTTAGTATTTGATTTAGCACTTGCAGATAACTTAATAACAAAGATGACCTTACGAAGGACACATATTGGTCACAAAGATGTGTTAAGTTTGTTAATGGCACACTTATAAGACCAGCTGAAGTATATGGCATAGGAATTATTGGCTGCATATCAGAAAAAAAGGTAATTATGCAATTTCAGTCTCTCTCTTACAGAGGTTAATTCCACCTCTCTACAAATATCAAACCCTTTCTTTACCTGGGAGAGAAGTGTTTCCATTGTGTTCCACAGTTCATTTGGAAGAGACAAGTCCAAGACAATCGCAACAGCCATACTCCTGTACATGAAAATGGTAAAAATTGGATGAGTGACATGGAACCACTGCAGCTGTATCCCAATACTGTACCTCAGCAATATTTTAATCAGGAACAATTGTATTAAGTAGGTGGAGAGTCTGTCAGCAATCAAACCTAGTGGTTGACCTGCTTAGAGCTTATCTCTGATTTTGTGACAAGAAGCATCTACTGTAGAAGCATTGGAACTCCACCTGCATGCAATCTTGGTCCATTACAGGTTACAAACCTTTGTATCTTGTCAGCTTTCCCAGCCCATTCATCAGTGCCCATTTTTATCTTTTTACTAAAAAGTTTTGCAAGACTTTAAAAAGTGTTTTATGCAGCATTTCCTGTTTTTTGTATGACTATCAGAGTTGTTGGCAGTGTTATTTAGATACTTCAGCAAAGCTGGTAAATGGTTGTCATACAAGAAACTAATGACATGTGATGATCATGAGTAAAAACCATATTATCCTGGCATGTAAATCAGCCATAAACCATTACACCCTAACATCAGTATGCATATTCTCCATACTGTTCACTACATATTTCTTTAAGTGCTGACAAGGAGAATTTGTTTAACAAGCAAGAGCTTCTTGTTAGTGATCATTTCCTTCATTCTCATGACCTTGATGTGTGACTCAGGGGTGATATTGTAAGGAGAAATAGGATGCTAGCCATTCTCAGGAGTCCAAATGTTAAGCTTGAATAACAGTTAGCTCTCACCTTATAGTTACAGATGTCAGAGGAATTTCAATTAATTTGGAAAGGAATGTTCCACCTCCAAGTTCCCATATGTGACCTATGTCTTTTCCCTGTTCAGATTGATAAAAATGTGGTATTACACACCACTCATTACATATTATAACACTGAGTAAGGGAAGTTATGAATGAAGGGTGGCTAGGGTTTGTGGTAGTCTCATAATCTACAGCCTCAACACAGCTAATTATAAGCAAACTATAAACTTCTGTACAGTCTGCTTAATGTTGGTAAAAAGACTTTGGAATCAAGCAGCTCCTTATGCATTAGTATTTATCATACTGTTTCACCTGTTTGAATTCATTTGCTCCACACAACACATTGCATTTACTAGGGACACCAATTTGAGATTTATGCTACTTTTAGTGTTGTACTACAAGCAAAGTCAGATCATCTTGTGGGTCAATTTGCAATCATGTTCTTATATGGAAAATCTGATATCTTTGTCAGTTTTGTACACTTAGAGGTTTTTTTTAAGGTACAGGTTGTTAAATGCTGGTGGAAGAACAGAATTTCCATGGCTTGTTTGTATTTTACATTTTATTCCAACCATCTCATTGCTGGAAGTACTTCTTGTATTTGTTACATATTTCTTACTACCGGTGAGGGGTTAAATAAATGGTTAAACTAGACTAGCAAGAAAAAAACTAAATTTTTCATTACTGAAAACCGTAACAGTTTGTAAACAATTTGCCCATCCCTTTTTTGGTACAACTGAACTCCGTACGGAGGAATTCTTACGTAATTAAAATAACAGTCTCGCCTCTAGAGAGACCAAATCCATTAATCACTCATCAATCATCCATTAATCTTAATATATTAAACACACAGTCTTGAAACTAAATGTACAGAGTCTTACAATATTGTGTCCAGTTTTAGCTCTTCTTCCAAAGGTGTAATCCAAAGCTGTCGTTGGTTTGGGAGCTTCATCTCTACAATTAGATTATTAACAAATTTTGTCAAATTTCTTGATCTTTATACGAAATGTTTCCACCATTTCTAAAACAAATAAACCTATAATTCCCAGAGGTGATTAATGAGTAACTTCTCTCTAATACCATCTATTACTTTAACCAGTAATCAGGGAAATGAGAAAACTCAAACTTGTCAGGTGTTAGTTATCTTGATCTACCTCCAAATTCTTACAAATAATTTACAAGAATAGGTCCATTACTAGAGGGGAGAATTAAATATCAGATCTTGGGAGTGAAGTTATTGATTGAATAAAAGTTCACTGTTTATGTATGGCTTTCAATGTGAGGTTGTTTAGCATCTTGAATAATTATACTCACCGATCAAGAAATCTCAAAATTATGGAGGTTTTACCCTATAAATTGATACAATTCATAAGTATTGAACAGTGATTACAGGAAGACTTCATGAACAATAATATGTAACAGCAAAAAATGACCATTTTGTGACAAGATGTCACCATTATCAAATGGGTTGGTAACAATAACATACCATTTAATGGAGGGATGAAAGGATAAAATTACACAAGACTAACTAAAAGTGTGGAACAACAAAAAATGACTATAGAAATAACTACAAAACAAACATTTTTGCTGGAAAGGAGTTGAACAAGAAACTCAAATAAATAAAATGTTGAATTCTTTAAATAATATTATTTCACAAGTTAAGTCTTTTGTAATTTAAATCCCTTTCTGAGTGACAAAGCTGATGAAAACTTACAGAGTTTTTACTTCCCAGGATAAAGATACTGGATTCATCACTGCTTGACAACTGTAAGTCATCCTGTTGATCTTAACCAAGAAGAGAGAGAACTTCAAAATAACATCTTCATAGTTAGTTAACTTTAGTTTCTACTTTTACCTTGCATTCATGGTGTTATTGAAAGCAACATTGATTCTCAGACCCATCATATGATTCTTCACCTTTTAACTCCAAAGAATGACAAGCATTGTATCTCTCCTTACAATATCACCCCTAAATCAATTATTGAGGTCACAGGAATAAAGGAAATAATCACAAACTTAAGAAGCTCTTAATTGTTAAACAAATTCTCCATGTCAACACCTTAAGAAACATATAAGGAACAGTATGGAGAATATGTATGCTGATGTTGGGGTGTAAAGAGTTAAAAGCAAAACTGATGTCTTTCCCTTAAGTAGTACGGTACTTAGCACCCAAATGCTACAGTTTCTTAGGCCTTACAATTTCTGACAAAATAAGAAAGGACACACCAATTCTTTTTCTGGAGGAACTTGAGAAAAATTAATACATATAATGGTGGCTTAACATTACACTTATAGTATACATCTAGATTGGAAATACCTCTATTTGAATGGTTTTCAGTTTTATTCCTCTCTTCCACTGCCAAGTCCCAGATAGTCTTCTCTGACCTAATAATGGTTGTTTGTTGATAAAACAGTAAATCATGAACTCAAGGTGGCTCAAGACAGTTTTTCATATAATCTATACCCTAATACTAAGCAACTGTTGAATGAGGTTGGGCATGATATCATGAATTATCTAAACTGAGGTCTGAGTTATCTGCTGAAGCCGAAGGCTAAGGCAGTTAACACAGACATGAGGTATGGAGCCTGCAATACAGAGTTTTAACAGCTGGCAGATAGGTGAATTTGACACGTGCTTAATTTGCCACTTGATAGTGAGACTCAAGAAAATTGTCATAGAGTTAACCCTTCAACTCCCATGAGTAACCGAGACAGAATTTTTCCCTACAATATGAATACAATATCAACCAGATAAGTGACGAGAATAAAGAAAATTATCAATCAGGGGATAATTAGTTGGTCCAATACTAAATTCTCTGAACTAACATTATAAGAATTGTATGGTTGACTGTAAGAAAAATTACAAATTTGATCTGGGAGTTAAAGGGTTAAAGCAAAACAAACAATTTTAGTGCATAAACTTACTAAAGCTGATTGCTGAAATTCCATCAGCTAGGGTACTGATCAAAGTAAACAATAACATTTCACCGGTCTGCTTTGTGTATTCGCTAGAATTTGAGTTCACATCAAAGTTACAAGACTTGCATGGATTACTTATTTTCATTTACTAAGCTCATCGTTTCCAAAGCAACGGTCACAACATTGGCATCTTTCATACATCCAGTCTTATATACCACGAATAAAACCAGTATCCTAATAATTAAAAGAAATCTTTCCTTACCTCTTCTCAGTCATTCTTGATTGAAAACGTCAGGGTGCGTGAAGTTAAACTATACGATGTAACGTTTTCCACTTCCGACATTTCTAGCTCTCATCAACATTGAGCCCGCAATAAAATTTCATAACCTATCCGCTGCTTATGGATCCCTACCAGTTTCTTCAGAGCGAGGAAAGCAACGCCTGGCACAAAACTGTCATGTTCGCGCCAGAAGTGTTGGATGAAGTTATGGCCCTGAAATCTATTTTTTGTAACCCTAAAGAGTTTTGCTTGGTGAATCCGTCATCATTTGATGTCCTTGAGAAAATCTCAGGACCAATTTCTTTCAAAATTTCCGTCAGTTGTGTCGTAGGGCGAGACTTATCAGAGGGGAACAGTCCTGTTTCAATCGTTGTGGAAATGACTGTTGTAATTTCAGATGAGTATCCCCAAAAATTGCCAGAAATATCACTATCATGCGCGGAAATGTCGAAGAAAGACTTGAATTCTTTGCGAAAAAATCTATTGGAGTTTGCAAACGATATTCGTCGTTCAAGTTCCGAGCCAATGATTATGGAACTGGTTTTGTGGCTGCAAGAGAATACTAAAGCTTTTTTATGTTTTGACAACACAAGTGCAGCATCACAGTGCACAAATGGTGGCTACTGTGCAGATAAAATCATGATTTTACTCAAGATAGACCACATGCGGAGTAAAAATCGTTACATAAAAACCATAACACGTTGGATTAAAGAGCTGAATTTAACTGGAAGACTCTTCCTCTTAAATGCTTTCATCTTCCTTTTGCTGACTGGGGATGCTAGTGATGTCAAAGAATATTTACGAAAGCATAAAACTTGCAATGTTGACGTTGACTCTTCTGGAAAACCATGCAAGGAGAGAATGATGAATGTCTTGGTGCAAGAACAAGCTCCACGCGATTTGAGGTAAAAATATTAAAACATGTACCACTTTAACAAGTGTTATGCGAACAATATCCAGTGGGTCAGTAAGAGTGTTGAGCAATGAATCAAAACTGTGAGGTCTATTTAAGAGAAAAAACTGTATATCAAGCCTTTTTCATCATCAAATTTAAGATAATTTTGTTTAATTAGAACCAAAAAGGTATGAGACTGGTTTAAGGGGAAAGAATGTTATGAAAACTACACAATTTTTTTGTTACCATTATAAAGTTTTAATCAAAATGTACAAATTGTGTTTGAATATGCCACAATTTTGAAAAGAGACAGTAACTTGCACACACAAAACTACAATGCTTATTTCTTATACAGCTGCTACTGTTGTTATGCACAAAAAGTCATCATTTGAGTCAAGAATGCCTTTTTGTGTAGCTCATGAACAGATTGACTAGAGAAGGAAAAAAGAGGAGTCAGAGAGACTTTTTAGGTATCATGTCAGCATCCAGGTTGCAAAGCAAGATTCAAAATAGTGGAATCAATGGTAAAATTTTTACCACAGTGGAAGAAAATTTCTAATTGCTTGGGTCGTATTTGGAAAGCAAGATTCAAATAGTGGGATCAATGGTGAAAACAATGTCCATTTAATAACTCTATATATTCATACATATGGTACAGATACAAATTCAACTTTTTTCTGGAGCATGCTTCTTCATGAGGGATAGACTGAAAGTTTATATTTAGACTGATTTGTTAAAACAAACCCTCACATTATTCCTCCAAGTGACTGATATTCTGCTTCTCTTGACTTTCCCTCTCATTGCCATGGTAACATTGGCCCACCCTTACTTACAGCCCACTACTCTTCAGTTATAGAGCTATGTAATAATCATCACTAATCATATTACCTTTCTTTTTAAATTTGTAGGATTTCTGACTTTGACAAAGAAGAATGCAAATCTGCCTCACAACTAAAAGAAAGATTTATGGAACTACAACTTGAGGATCTTTTTAAGGAACACATTAACCCTCTGCTTTAGGTAATATACCAGGGCTACCAAAGAATTGAAACCTCTGATGAATATTTTTTTATACTACCCTTTGTATGTGTATGGTGGTCATAAGGATGTACAAGACCTTAATAGAGGCAAGCCTTCTTTCTGTGGTATGAGGTTAATGTATGCTAGGGTTATTTCTCCTAAGGTTGGGACCATGATGGCAAACATAATTCAGTAGTACCGACTTACACTCTGGGAAAGGGAACTGCCAAGGAAATTGTGAGTCACTGGCTGAAAGCTATCAATTTCCCATGCTAAAAAAAGGGGGACTGCCAGGTGAATTTTGGCTGGTAATCAACCCTTAGAATAAAGGGCTAACTGATAATGAGTTTTCACTATTGAAGTTGTTCAATAATACTAAAAACCATTTAAACAAAAGCATCAAGATAAATACCTTTATGGTAAAACTTATCTAGGCAAAGCAAAGTCATTGGTATGGAATAAATTCCCATTTAAACTGTTGTCTTCCCTTTTATGGTTAATTGTGAGCACTAACAGGTATGACAATCTTGCTTGAAATTTAATTGAGTGATTGTTTTTAACATTTTTCTGGCTTTTATAGCTTATAATTTCCCTAAACAAATTTCCTATTGAAATTTGCCACTGTAACAACATGCAACGTGTGAATGGGAATGTGAATTTAGCAGTGGACACTCCACAAGGTGGCTCTTCTTGTGTGTTTCCAGTGTTATGAGTAATTGTTGTTCTTAATAGAAGCTCCTAGAAATCTCCAGACTGCTTAGTCATGCCAAAATGTGTACCATAGAACTTACTTGAACATTTCATCAAGTCACACAGTTATTACATAATACCATTAAAATAGTTTTTTATAAGCTTCTGGAATGTCCAAGAGCACTTTGTAAATGTCTATACAGACTCAGTTACATAGTAGTTGTTATTGTTGTTGGGAGTGACCAACTGTTTAGAAAGCTATACCGTGAGAGAGAGCTACAGTGGAAGATTGCTAAGTTCAAGAAAAGTTGGGGGAAACTGTGAGTTTGGCCCTGTGGTGAGCCAATATATAGACTGTAGTGGGCTTAAGTAAGTTTATTGAGCATAAGTACTGTACTGCCTTTAGGAGTCACTCCTTATTAAGAATATCACTAGTTGTTTAATGAAGTAGTTGAGTTTGTAAGATTCTAGTGTTTTTCTGTCTGTTAGATTATACGATACGGTAATACTAGGTTGAATTAAAATTTGGAATGTTGGTTTTTGTGGAGGAGGGAAGCCTGGAGAACTGGAGGAAAACCCATGGAGCAACAAGAAGAACCAACAATAAACTCAACCCACATGTGACACCACATCTGGGAATTGAACCCAGGCTACAGCAGTGGAAGGCGAGCACTCTCACTACTAAGCCAACATGAACAACTGTATTCTCACCACTGTGTAAAAAAATGATTTATTGAAGAATACATTATCAGTTACAAAAAAGTCTCTGCCTGTAGGCATCAAGCAAACTCCTTACTACTGTACTTGTCTCATTCATATTACAATTAATGGGTCTTTTTGCCTGCAATCTGTTGCTTTGCTAACACTTTATGCATACAACAAATAAAAACAGTGCAATTAGTTGTGTCACTGGAGAGAGCATTGTAAATATTATATCACATAATATTCCTTTTGATCTCAATGTGACAGTTATTTAAGCAGATCATCAGAATCTAGGGAACTCAGTGATGAACTAGAAATGTTTCCTATTCCAATTCCAGACCCTCCTACAAAGAAAAAAAAACAGTTATTTTCCCTATTGCATGTATTTTTTTAAGTATAAAATCTAAAAGAACATCAAAGGCAAAAAGGTTCATTGAAATGAACATTATGCAAGCATAAATAAATTTTATTTGGAGAAGATTGGCACTAATGGAAAAATTGTCACTGATGACAATATTTCTTTCTGGAATAGAACTCTCCCTTCCCATAACCAGTATGAAACAGTTTTGACACTTAATAAATTCAGAGAAAGTCTAAAAAGCTGCCAGGCTGGAAAGATTCTATCTCTTCCTTTACCACTTGTGTTAGACCTTGGTGATGCAGTTGGCACTACAAGGTCCATACTGTGCTGATAAAGTGACAATCTACATTCCCATCAAGAGGAACAAAGACTGTGGAAACAAGACAGCTAGAGTATCTGAATTATTTTTGCTATTCCTACCTCTAGGTACTGTACCTGCATATGATCTGTCAAGCTGCAGGGAGGTAAGGTCTGTATCACTGGGGCTGCTGGCATCAAGTGTTGTCAAACTTAGATCACTATCACTACTACTTGATAAGACAAGATCATCTGAAACTCCCTTAGATTTCTGTTTGACAGCTTTTTTCTTTGGTTTGGAGGCACCATTGGTCATTGTGGTTTGGTTGGTTGAGCGTGGTCGAACCTGTCTCAGAGAAGAGTTGCTACCTGTATGGTGAACAAAACAGAAAGTGCCTTGCTAAGAGGATTTCACAAAATGAAATCTGTACAGCTTCCCCACATGCTTCCATGACTACAAATGATCCCCAATTTGAACTTCAAACTATTGCCCGTTGCAAATTCCCGTTCAAACTTCTGGAATTATTTATATTTTTTCTAAGGTTCCACAAATGGCTAATTTATTAGAAATCTAAAACTAAACTTGAATAAATAAATGAATAAATAAAATTATTCCCAGGATCCTACATTGAGGATTAAAAATTGTTCCTTGAAATTTTTACCACATACTCCTTATATTTCAGTATATTTGTAGTCATGACTGTGATCTGTGTTGTCTTAAACTGGGAGGTGCAGTGGCCCAGAGAGAGGCCCAGGTTCAAGACCTGACCGGGACAATGCATTGTGTTCTTGGGCAAGACACTTCACTCTCACAGTGCCTCTCTTAACCCTTTAACTCTCATAAGTGACCAAGACAGAATTTCTCCTCACAATATCAATATCAAGCAGACAAGTGATGAGAATAGAGAAAAATATCATTTAGAGGATTATACTACTGAGATCTTGGGAGTTAAAGGGTTAAGGGCACACTTAATTTGGAGCCTCACTCTGTTGTGTGTCCCTCACCTTCATGATGAAAGTAATTTTAAAAAAATTCTCCCTTCCCTGACATCCATGCTAAGTACCAAAATAAGCACAACATTTTGGCATCTTATCCAGGAAGATTACTTGCCTCTTAATACTCAAAACAAAACAGGTTGAAAACTATGATAACATTACTCTATCATCTTTTGAAAACTTAGGGAAGTTTCAAATTTGACAAGACTTCTCCACAGGGTTCTAAATGTCTTACTTGAAACTCCCGATTGCCTGATGCTGGACTGAAGTTCTGTTTCTAGTTCAGAATATTGATTGCTCACTTTGTTTACAAGGTGTCTGCACGTAAACAAAAACATGTATCACTGATCACAAAACAAACAAAATAAACAATAAGACAAATATTTATATCAATACTTAAAGTAAGCAATTCACGGTATTCACTGACAAGAGTATTTGCCAATGAGCATTAATATTTTCTTCATTAACTCCTAAGCATAAGAGGATCAAACTGTGTATTTACAAATGTTCCTAAGATGACTTACTTAAGTTGCTGTATCTCATATGAGTCAGATTGTCTCTCATCAACAATGCTGCTTAGGCTTCTTGATTGTGAGCGCTGATTCTCAGACAGTGATGACAAAGCCTGCACAAAAAATATTTCTGATCAATACTTTTTTTATAACCCAATGTAAACGCTAAATAAACTTTATAAATGTAAACAAAAACAATGGAAGGGAATACTTATTGTTTATAATAGTTAATGATTCAAGAGGAATCTATTGAGGTACAATATATGAAGTGGAACATAGGGATCCTAGATCAACATAGAAAACTGACCTATTTGGACAAAGATACCAATCAAGTAGAACTACATTAACAACATTACACGATCAAGTGTTAAATTCAGAAACTTACTTTGTCCAACCTCTCTTGTTTATAAAGAACGTCTCTGGAATCAGCAACTGTAGAGTGTAGCTCAAGCTCCATTTTACCTGTTTTGTTTTTATTCATAACAAAGATAAGAAATGTAAGATACAAGGAAGATTAGGTAAATATTACACGACTGAGCACTCCAGAAATGTGGTCCAAAGTGTGTGTGCTTCATCACGGTTTTCACATGAAGTAATTGAGGTTATTGCAACTCTCCCTGAACAGGAGGCTAGTCCACAGCAACCCCTCACCCTTCCTGAGGCTTTTTGTGAGGTACCACAACAACCTCCTATACACATTAATTAATACTCCTGGGTAGAGAGAAGCTTGGTGAGAGTAAAGTGTCTCATCCAAGAACACCACACAACTTTGTCAGAGCTGAAAGCCCCTACATTCACCATATCCACAATTATACAGCTTGCTAACCAGAAGGATGAAACGTCTCCCCAATTTTAAATATATAAACATAAGCTAATTTAGTATTAACAACTGAGTTAGATATATAAATAAAAATACATATACTGTTCTTTTGAGTGACAAGACAATTTTTGATGAATTTTTTGTTAAAACTTATGCAATGTAGCAATTATTTGTGCCTTTTTCATACCCAGTCTTGTTTTAAGGTGCTCAATATTCCTTTGTAAAGACTCTGTTTCTTCTTCAATAATTCTTTTCCTGTAAAGGGTTTTACAAAATAAGGATAAAATTCTAAATTACAGGCATGATTATAATATAATTACTACTATGTTATGGAAATCAGTAAGAAGCCTTTGTAAATCAACTAGTCAGTGTAAGAATGTTCATCATTTACACCCTAACATTGATATCCAAAATTATTCTCCACACTTTTCTCTTCATGTTTCTTAAAGTACTGACAAGGAGAATTTGTTTGACAATCAAGGGCTACTTAATAGGCAACCATTTCTTTTATTCGCATGACCTTTATATTTGATTAAAGGATGACACTGACTGGAGAAATTAAAAGCCAGTCAATCTTAGGGGTTAAAGGGTTAAGACTGTATGGTTAGAGGCTGATATCAGTTGTGTCTTTTCAAGTCTTATTTTAGGAGAACCAAATAGTACATATGAGGTCAGATCTAACCCATTTGAACCTCTTAGCATTGCAAGGCACTAAACTCTAACAAAGATCAGTAATACTTTAATCATCCTTTACTGCTCTTCTTTCTTAGACTAAGCAATGCAAGAAAGTTTATTCTTCAGAGATTGAAGTTTTCATTTAAGATAAGTAACATCTTCAATATGAGAAAATAAGTTGACAAAACAAACCTCAAAATCATGCAACACGCAAAACTGTTCTTAACATCATTTTGATTCAATGAACGAAAGCATATATGCTGTTTCACTACAGTAGGTAATTTTTTCGATATAAGGTAGGTAAAGCAAAAATATTTTACAGAAATATTTACAGCAAAAATGATCAATTTGAAAAGAACACAAACAAAATTACTGGTATGTCTTCTAAAGTGTTTTTATAACCGAGGCAAAAGAGCGTTCATTGTTCAAGGCATTTAAATTTCGTGCCATGTCAGGCTTCCCTACTGTGATTCTTGAAACAATCCAAGCAGAACCTCTCACCACATGAATCACATCCCATCCCACAGAACGTTGTCTTTTTTCTTTTCAAACATCTCTTACATCTTCCCTTGCTCATTTTTACAGGCCAATGTCCAGTCTGAACAGTTCCTTCTTGAACAGCATGTTGCCAGGATGAGAAGTCACCAATCAGCATCTTCACCATTTCAATGAAAAACTGAAGCTGTGTGAAGTTTGGATGGTTATCCACAATTTGCATTTAAATATGTGCATTCACAATGCTTACATCCAGACAAAACTATAACAGATACCGCCACCATTTATTTGCCCGTCGTGATGTATCGTAATATTGCCACATTTGATTACTGTGATCGACTCCCCCCATGTATTGGTTGTAAGGCTTTACCACCAGGAGAGAAGGAACTTCAATGTAGGTTCCATCCTTCTGTTTTCTGTGTATGGTTTTGTTTCCTCTTGCATTGCAATGGGTACTTATAAAAGCCACAGCTTTTTTGTCCTTCCACATGGATGCAACAATGTTCCCTTTCCTACGAAAGACAGATTCACCACGACGGAGCGATTTCACTTTGGGCTTGTTGGCTTTTAAGTCTTTAGGAAAGTCAGTTCTATTGGCACGTGTTGTTCCACAAAGATAGAGTTTGTCAGACAGTCAATCTTTAGCCAGTCAAACTGAAGTGAAAAAATTATCGCAAAAGATGTGATAATTTTTCCCCTTCAGATTGCTCACAAGTTTGCAAACGACACAATGTCCAAGACCGTTTTCAGGCTGGCCACCATTAATTTTTGCCTGTGTAGACTTGCATTGTGCTTACAAAACCATTCGTCGCATCAGCAGGCACCCATTTCACAGGCTTCATGGGCATGTACTGTTTGAAGCCAAGTCTTCCTTTGTACTTGACCATTCCTTTATCAGTTGAAACAAACTTCGATGGCTGATATTCTTTGCAGAATGTGTTGGCTAGTCTATCCAATGCATTAGAATTAAATTCAGACTCTAAGGAAAGTCAGGTCACAATTAAAATAACACAAACCCTAAGAAGTTAGTCATTATATATTGTTAAATTTCTTTTGTATCTTGCCTACTTACGCCTCATTCATGACCACTGAGTCATTACTATAACGAGAATTGTTTCCAGCAGCATCTGGGCTCAGCTTAGTTTGGTTTCGTACCATATCCAACTGACTGAATACATCACGTTTAAACTGAAACACAAGAAATTGTTACAAAATTAAATTTGATAACAAACCCATGTTGCCAATTAGGAGCAAGAAAGTCAGCTATGTTTCTCAACATAGTTTTATTAAAATGATATTATATATTCAATTTAAATCATTCTTTAGAACGTATAGAATAATCATGTAAACTCAAGATACATATCCAAAAGAAATATGAGGAAAAGAGAAATAATTTTAGAAGGGATGCAGCCTTAGATAAAAATTGAATAGAATTCAAAACAGAGGGTACACGTACTTGTTCTAGTTTTCTTTCTGTTTCAAGGTCCACTCCTCTTTCTCTGAGCCTATCATTCAGTCTGTTTATTTCATCTACATCACCAAATCAATTAAAAACACTTTTAATTAATTTCCGACAAAGGTTGAGACAAAAATCACAACTTTGTTATCAACAAATAGGAACTCCAATTAAAACACCCTCCCAAAAATATCAGTTCTTACTGTCAACTCTGTAACTTTCAGATGCAATTAACATGTAACTTCTTCCAATTCATGAGAATACTCAAACATACCAAGTGGAAGTTATCTTGATCAAACTCCAAGTTCTCATGACTTAATTTATAAAGAAATGTGTAATGGGTAGAGGGGAGAATTAACAATTAGATCTTGGGGATTAAAGGCTTAATAAGATACATGAAAAAATTACTCAGTTCTGATTGGTTAAGATAAATGCAGTTTTCTGGTAATTTGATGCAGAAGAGGGTCAATTCAGTGCAAAGAAGTAGCAAACCAGACTGAACAATTCCTTGAACTGTTTAGCCAGACTTTGAACTTTTTTGTGCCTTAAAGATGTAAAAGTATCATTATATGTTATTGTTTTGATCATACACAGCTGTTTTGACCAAACACATGGTTTGAATAAATCATTTTAGCACTTGATGCATGCACTTTGCCTCTGCATAATTATGATGAGCTATCTCTTATTTTTTCATGTATATTATTAATACGTAATCATATGATTTTTCTCCTGCAATTTGGAATAAAAAAGCACTTGCAAATTTTTTCAAAGACCACAAATTGCACTCACCCTATGGGCTCATGCAATTTTGTTAGTCTATGAAAAAATTTACTTATGCATTTTTATTCCAAACTTCACTCAAGATCATGTGATTACCTATACTAGTATCATGACACAAAATAATACATTTTTCATCAACTACCCATAACCAACACCAATTCATGTAAGGAAAACAGTGGTAAATCCTAACTATTTGGTATTAATCAGTGTGCCTACATTCAACTCTGTCCTTCAAATTTTTCTTTCTGTTGTCAAGAACAGAAACAAATGAAAATAACAAAAACGTAGCTCAGAAGACATAAGACATACTGAAGTTCAAATTTTTCCCTTGGTTTAAAAACTTTCATGACCATAATCTGAATAGTAGAAGCAAGTTTAGCAGACAAAACAATCAAGTTACAGCCACATGTAGTTGAGTTTTTCTTTACTCTCAGCACATGAGCCTGCTTACAAATCTTTGTAAACTGTTAAGAGAATTTGGACTGTACAAGGCAACATCATATAAAACCTAAATTAGGCCAAGCTAACAGAAATTTGCCAAAACTAAAACCAACCTTTCATTTTCTTGATTTCTGCAGCATGTACATCTTTTTCTTTCAGAAGCTTTTTAACTGCATCACTCAGCTGATTCACCATCTTCAATAGACAAGCAGAAAGATTAAAGCATACTCAGTCTTACTCAAATTCAAGAACAAAACCCAAGTTGGTCATTGTTTTGTAATTTTTTGTTGGGTTTAATTTTAACTATGGAGGAGTTTACAAATAATAAGAGTGCATTTTTGTGAGCAAATGGCTTGAAAATGTTCACATTGTAGAATGATGTTCGTTCAAGCAAAAACCAAACAGCAGCACCAAAAACTAATGTGAGACTTTGCTAAATTCTTCAACATTTGTTGCGATCACTAAGACAACCATCCAAGAAAAACTTGTGCTTGGCATTTGAGCCCAATTTTTGCCCCAGGGGAAGGAATTTGAAGAAACCAATCTTCCAAAGTTCAAATAACCTGGGGGCAGGGCATTTGCCTGGAGGGGAGTATGTTGAAGCTTCGAATTGATCAACACATTAAGCTTAAACTAATCTACTCAGAAGGGGCAGCAATATTAACCTTTTGCTTATAGCCACAAAAACTGTGTTTAGACCAGCAAGCTATCAAAAGTTAATTTTGTATGAAGTGTTTATCTTAACCTTTCCAATGTAACTACTGGTAAATTGCAACTAATCAATAAAATAAACATCACAAAGAAAAAAAAAAAGATTGATTCTTCAAAAGTGATATTTGCAGTCTTGTCCAGTAATAATAGTCCAATTTACAGTTGTGTGCTTGATTGCCAAGCCTTTGAACAGGAGTAAGGCTAAGGTTGACCTTGTTATGATACAAACCTTGCTGCTTTTTAAATGCAAATTACTTTGTTATCATGTTAACTAGATACTATCACAACAAGGTCACCTTTAGTCTCACTCCATATCAAAGGCTTGGCAACTAAGTACACAACTATAAAATGGCCTATTGCTGTTTATCTATTTCAAACATCTAAAAGAGCTGCAAGTACACTATGCTTATAAAATATACCTCAGTTTGTTCCTCAACCCTTTCAAACAATGCATTCACCAAAGCAGGTGATGCCTGACTGGATGGAACACTGGTTGCCATGCCAACTGTTTTCACAGGACTGTATAAGCTGCTTGGTAAGTCCCATGCCACAGAGGATTGAAATGGACTTCTGGTGGCCTGAGAGTGAAGATTGCCTGTTGACGTGTTAGGATGGCATTATCTACTGACTCAGTTCTATCCTGATCTACCAGTAATTTGATTTGAGTTTGCACAGTGATATTGTTGGCAAGGGTTTTAGTTACCAGAAATTGATTGTTTAAGTTAGTCTTATGTATGTGTCCATGCTATAACATTTTAAGATGTGAGGCCTCTCCCCACTTTCTTTGGACACAGGCTGTGTATAAGTGTATAAACAAATAAAAAAATAAAAAACAAGACGAGAATCTCAACATTTTTTTAATAAATCTTTCATATTCTACGCTACCCAAATAGAATACTGTGTAACTATATTTGACTGCCAATTATTATCTGCTTCTTTTAGTTGTGAATAAACAAGTTCATCCGCTAATATTGAGTGTTATCAAGATTCAAAATGGAATTCTCCAAACTCATTTGCAATAAAACGTATAGCAGTTAGTTGGAAGATTAACTAATTGGATCTTAGGATCTTAGAGGGGTTAACTGTCAAGGGTGATTCTTGAAACTTACCATGAAAAACATTTATGGAAAGATTAAAAAATGATTTACCTCAACTAACGCAAAATATTGAAATTTGTCGGAGTCTCGCAGATGTTTTCATCACTCGTCGTGACATATGGCAATATGTTACTTATGTTGTAAAAATCATTAATATTAATGAAACGAAACAGCCAATGAAAACACTATATTCTCACCGCCAAAATGGTTTCCACTTGACCTGTCGGGGAATGCTTTTGGTTTGCCTCTACCAGAACCTAAGCGATCCTGAGATATAAACAGACATGCTTTAAAAAAAATTTGGAAGAACGTTAAATTCCGTCCGAATTCAACCGGAGAAGAAGGGTTTTTGTGCTACGTTGAAGCTTTGAGAAGCGTTACGAGCGACTGAAGGAATGTGTGACAATCTTTCTAAACACGAAACCTACTTACCCTAACTCTTGCTAAATTCGTCTCAGTTTCACGTACAATGGAAGAAAACTTGCTTTCCCAATCCATCCTAAGGAATTCAACTGTACCGACGCGCAATAAAAAAGATATCAAGACTTGTGATGCTCATTTCATGAAATTTCGTTTCTTCGCTTTCCGTTTACTACACGACCGTTACACTGGTCAATTATAAGCCGCTGACCAAAGCTTTGCTTGCTGCCCCCAGAAAGAAGGTTGACTGTCGGGAAGGGAACGGTGTAGGAGGTGCCAGGAGGTGCCAGGAGGTGAATAAATTTTCTTTTTTTATATGGAGAGCATACGCTGAGTTATACCGTTTGTCCGGTTCTATCGAAAGTTTCATAACTGTATTCGGTCAATCATGAATTATCTTGAACACTGATGTTTGCAAGCGGATAGATTCTACGTGTAAATAGACTAGGCATTTATTTTGGGTTGAAGAACGAGAATCATATCGTCCACGACTATAATAAGGCAGTAAAAGTGGTTTCCAATACACCGGTAATGATTGCTTGATATTGTTATATCGGAACAGAGATATCTTCCAAGAGATTTCCAAGGTAAATAAACATTGGTTTACATTTCCGGTAGGCGCAAATGGTAAACGACTCAAGCCACGTCACTGCACTATTGCAACCTTAAAAAGGGCGGGAAGTTTTAACCAATCCATTTTACAGATTTGAAAGAACCAGCCAATCAGAGGCTAGCAAGCTTTCTCAGCCCGAGCGCAGGCGGAAAGTATGGTTAATTTTCAAGATGGCTTCCACGTTTGGGGACCTAGAGGAGATTTACGCGCCAAGCGCTGCAGATCTCTTAGCCTTCTCTTTTTTATTATTATGGATAGTACTAGCATTATTTCAGTTAATATCTATAGCAACAGCGTGAGTATCATTTGCTTCAGTGTTTGCAAAGCCACGCAATTTGATATTCCGCTCAACTTCGCGTACTGTTTGGTACATTTACTAATTTGTCAATGTGCTATGTTTTAGTAAGATTCACCTTCATAAATCTACTCCCGCTGTCAATAATAAAGAACTTCCGGGGGTTTCAATCTTGAAGGTAAGGTATCCTTTAAACATTATAGCTTTATATTAAATAATGCGTTGGTCAGCTATTGATCCGCCAATACTTATGCTAAATGAGCTTACTTTTGAGACTCAAGAGCTGTTTTGCTCTGTTGGCGACCCAAGAAATAATTCGCTCATGAGTTAATTTTTCTCTTGTAGCCTTTGGTCGGAGATGAGCCTAATCTGATAAAAAATCTTCAAGGCTTTTTCGAACTAAATTACCCTAAGGTGAGATTTGTGTTATTTTGGGCGCTATGTTTTTTTTTCGCTCTCAATGCTGTATCGCTATATCCTATTGTTACCCTTTTTAAGCCTTATTTGTTTTTCTTTATTGTAACATGTGGGTTGTTGGTTGAGACTCTAGTCAAACTGAAATATGTGCCCCTAAGTTAAGTTCAGTGAAGTTTACTGAACACACAGACTAATCTTATTCATTCCAGTATGAGATCCTTGTTTGTGTGCAAGATGAACTGGATCCCGCAGTCAAAATTGTACGTCAACTTATGGAAGCATATCCTCTGGTGAATTCGAGATTATTTACGGGTAGGTTACGCACGAAAATATCTCTGTTTTGAAAACGGGGACAATCGATACTTTTAACGTTGAAAAATATTTTAAATTCATTTTTAAGGAGGGCCCCTGGTTTTATTTGCATAAAAATGATCAGAGAACTCAACCGTGAAGCCCTTAAGGTAGAACGAATTGCTTTCAACGTCACCAATTTATAAATCGGATAAACCCAGGACAACAATGTAGCAGTCTTAAAGTTCTCAGTCCGAAATTTCCAACAGGATACATTATTTTTCTAAATTTTAGCAGGTGAAGTTTGCTCAAAAACCACAGTGTTGTCTATCATAATCGCTACACTGAGACATGCCGTTAATTACTTTGTTTTTCGAAAGAGACAATAGCTGTATGTTGATCTCTTGGGAATAATTTTGTTGTAAATTTTTTAAAATTATACCCTGGTTTTCTGTTAAAGAATTTTTCACTTTATCTCCCCTGTGTCTCATTAAATATTTACATCAACTACTGAAAAAATATTGTTCTACCTGCAGCGAGTTATATATAATTATTTAGCTGTGTGCTGTTCTTTGTCACCGAAAAAATATAGTGCTCCCATACCTTCAAATAATAAAAAAATTTTTTTCATGGTCTAAGTATTACTATAAAATATGGCAAGAGTGGTTGCATCTGTAAGAAACAACTTTAAATTTCTTGCATTGAACTGTTTATACAAAATACAATAAACTTGTGTAAATCATGCCCCAAATTAAGAAGACTTCTTAAACAGACATCAGCCTAAGTACCTATCAAATGTACCTGTGTCTAGCTTACACTTCTAGTGGGTACTGACAACAAAATTTAGCCCCTTTGACACTTTAAATCCATGTGAAGTAGATAGGCCTGATGAAAGAGTTTTTTTTTATTTCCTTAGATAAAGATAACATTTTTTACTTGATAAAATATTAATATTAGCATATAGGTACTATTTTATCAACCTTAAACCACTTGTCCTTGAAAAGTGCTGATTGCTCACTCTGTTCTATTTGAACTTAATAGTTAACTACTCTTCCACAATTAACCTTTATTAAGAAGAAACTGATAAAAGTCAAGGAGGAGTCTGTTTTATACAGATATCACTTTGAATGGCACTTGCTTAGAGCTCTTTCCTAATAGTACCAGTTGTCCCAATTTTCATAAAGAATTTTCTTTCTTTCTTTATTTTCAAAAGAGAAAAAATAAGTATTATTATATTATTATCATGTATTATTGTGAATATTAATCTTTATTGATATGAATCTAGATATCAATGACTGAGAGGCATGGAGTGGGTACAGGCAGGGTGCATATTAGTATTTTCCCTTTTCTTTAAGATTGAGGAATTTGTTTAGCACATAAGTCTTAAGACTTGGGTAGAGCCAATGGCTATTCACCACGCTAATGTGTTTTAATCACAAAATTACTCTAGTAAGTAGCTTAGGTATCTGTGCATGTGTTAATAGTACTCTAGCAAGCAAACGACCAACAATTTTATTTCTAACTTAAAGAAAGGTTTAGTTTCCCTCCCACCTACACCATAGACAGTTGTATCTTAATCTCATTCATGTTTGTAATTTATTCCTGATAACTGAACCATTGGTTTAGTGTAATCATCAAATATCTTTTATGTAATAGTGTTGTGTGTTATTTATGTAAGATATATACATTTAATAAGCTGTCTGGTCCCAAAACAAGCTTCTGTCTGTTGTGGTGTTTAGTTACAATCTAAAGATATAAAAAGAGGACAAAAGTGAAGAGGCTGATTTTAGAGCCAATCTTGATGATTTAAATCTTTTCCTTAGGGTTATCCCAGAGAATTGTACTTTACATTTCCAGTGATGTAAGGTTTCTATAAGTTACAAAGTCAACAAATGTGGCTGAAAAGTGGACAGTGTTGGAAATAAAGTTTCACTATCAATTTACATCTTGACTTTTCTCTGTAGCTGCAAAGACAATTGGTGTGAATCCAAAAATTAACAACATGAACCAAGGTTACAAGGCAGCAAAATATGACCTGCTATGGATCTGTGACAGTAATATTAAAGGTAACACAGTATTTTTTGTCAGTAGTATTTAAAGTAACACTGATGAGCAATTACACCTATAATCTCTATAACCCAGTAGGTTTTTTTGTCATCTTATTCAGGAAAAGCCTTATTTGAACTAAATACTGAAGATAATGCTAAATAATGATTTCTTGGCTTTAGGAAGCAACATCTCCCAGAAGTAGATTTTTTTTCCTTTAATCTTTATCACCTGACTCCACTGGAAATTCCAGTTTTCCTTGAGTCTTTTCTGTAATAATTTTAGGGATGGCACCCTGGTTCACCTTTTCCCTTTGAAGTTCAGAAGGGTCATCTGTCAGTATTCAGTATGAGTATTTTAAGGAAAAGCACTTTCCTTCTCTGTTGAAACAATAATGTGTCTTTTTCCAAATTAACCCTGTGTTTATACTAGTGTTGTGTATTGCAAATCAATTGTAAGGTAATTCATTTTTGCTGTTTAGAAATCGTTATTCAATTTTTTACTTGTTTTTCTGTTGAGAAATACTAAATTATAATTCTTATATTTTTGTTGTGGTACTGCTGTCTTTAGTTCATCAAGGCACTCTTCAAGAGTTAGTTTCTCATATGGGACCAGGAGTAGGAATGGTTCATCAGGTAATAAAGATTACATGAGGTACACTAAGCAACAAAATCATAAAATAATAATGAATATTACCACAGCGAGACTTGTAGTCTCATGGGTTAAGGTGGCTTTTAACTGTTTGCAGTTCTTCTCTGATCAAAGGAATATTAAGTACCTCCAGTTTTTTTAGTATTTGGTCAGGAGATGAAATTTTGGTCTCAAAGAGATTCCTAATCAGGAGCAAAAATGATTTAACATTTATTCTTTTTAACTATGGCAAAGGTATAGCCTGTCACACACTATTTAGCAAACATTTAATGTTTTGAAAATTGAGATACAGTATTTCATATGTCAACTTGGATCTCAATACCAATAATGTGCAACCTGCCAAACTCGTGTTTTGCCCATGATCAGGTTAATCTGAAAATGCAATTTCCAGGTATCAAAATTAAAAGCTAAGGGCAGCAGATTTCTGGTCAAGAATATTCTTCTCTTCTGTTGTTATCTATTTCTTTCTTTGGTAAAAATTAGAGCTGCCATTGATTCACTTTTTTCCATCTTTAAATTCTCAGACTGCACCCTTTCCCCTTAAGATATCACCATACTTTCTTGAAAGCTGTTCTATATCCCAGCCATTCTTTGTGTACTTTAACAATATTGTGCCATGATTTTAGTCACATGTTTTTCTGTTCAATAGTTACCCTTTGTTGCCAACTGTATGGATTTTGCTGCATGTGTTGATAAGGTAGGATATGGTTTGTCTGGTGTAGGAAGAGTACAATTACACTTGACACTGTATCTGGTCATCTCTCAAACACAAAGGCACGATATAGACAGATTGGCTTCGCCCCTTGGTTTTCAGCTCAAGCGCAAATTATGCCATGGTAATATTATGTGATGGCAAAGCAAA